TTGTGTGTGTGTGTGTGTGTGTGTGTGTGTGTGTGTGTGTGTGTGTGTATAGATAGATCTAGACCTTCCTACCTTGATCCATGCCTTTGTCACCTCAAGACTGTTCTGTACACTTTCAATCCATTCATCCTGTAGTGATTTAGAATATGATAGCCTGTATTTTACTATCACATGATGCTTTTGTGGTTGGCTGTATACTTGACTGGTTGGCCTTGAGGGCTCTGTTCCTGGTTCCCTCAGTCTCTGGGAAGCTTTACCTATACTGAGGGTATCAAGTATAGTTTCTTCACTGTCAACTCCTAAATATGTCTCCCTACTGCTGCTGTCACCCACAGTGTTCAATCCCACATCTCTTGCTCAATATCCTTGAATCAGATGAAACTCCACATGGCTAAAATTGAAAAACTAATCTTCCTCTGCTTCTTATTCTGATCTTATCAGCAACTTCATCATCCATCTGGTCACCTGGCTTGGCAAGCATAGTGTCACATTTGACTCCTTGTGCATTTTGACTAATTTAGGATTGCTAAATCCCATTTCTGCTTATTCTGCAACTATCTTATCACTGCTGCTTAAATGTTGGTCTACTACAGCCTCCTCATCTCTGGCTTCCTTGACTTTTGCATTACATTCACTCTCGTCCACAAATTGAGGCTGGGGGGTGTAATAGGATGGGAAATGTTGCTCCCATGAGACTTGGGACTTCAATTAGGAATCTTTACTTCCACAGGATATTATAATTTTGTAGTCTACTGTGTTGTCAAGTCTAAATCATTTATGCTTATCGTTCTTTTTTTGTCCAGAGGGATGAATGCTATATAAATATAAACACATTGCCACTAGAATAATTCATTATTGGCTGTTTTGACCATCTAGCCCTCATCATCAAGTTCTTGCATATATCACGTTCAAAATCTTCCATCCTTGCAGCTTTAAGGCCCTTCCGACACCTAGTTTCCTACTCCCCAGCTCATGATCCAAGTGCTTATTTATACTTAAGGCTGTTTTTGTACTTTTCTACAAGTTATCCCATGCCTTCTCTGTCTCCTCTGCCTGAAATGTTTTTCCTGATCCTGTGCATCTCAAATTCCTCAAAACTCACCCATTTTGGTCAGTGTTCAGCAACTGACCTCCACTCCCTGTTTAGCCTCCCTGTGACCTTCATTTTGGATGTTATCTACAAACTATAGTATATGAATTAATTAAAAATACAAACAAAACATTAAAAATGGGTATAATACAAACCACATTTTGTAATATTTCACAGTTACAACCTTTATCCTCTCATAGACCTGTCCCTTTGTCTGTGGACAACTTGTATTGTAAACTACTTGAGTAGAAATATAATGACCAAACTTTAAAGAATCCCACACACTTATGGCATTGAATAAATACAAATACAGTGTGAGGCACTGTATGTTCTTAATCTGCAGTTATAGCTTCCCAATGTAAGTATTTGTAAAACTATGTACTGGTTTAGCTACCATTGCAACATCAGTACCTATCCCTTTCTATCTGTGCTTCCTCCTACTCTCAAAATTTGACTGTATCAATGTTCTCATTGCTATATTAATCCCTAAAATTGAAAAAAGTATATGTTGAGAAGGAAGGGATTTTAATTCATGCAAGTAGCTTTATAGTGAAAAATTCAACTGAACGACCAGTACCTTCTAACTTCTACTGACTGCCCTAATGAATAACTATGCTCAAGCCCGTTAAGGTATTAAAATATTCTCTGTACTTCTATACATGGTTTTGAAATCTGGGTTTCAGTGCAGGAATCTCTACAAGCAAGGGTACCACCACTCCATGCTTCAGCAGCACAGATGTCTGTAGGAGACAGACCACCAGCCCTTCAAAACATTTCATCCATTAGCAGAGTACAAGGCACACCAGACACGACAGAATTAGTAAAAACATTACCTCAAAAGTACAGGAGAAAGCTGATGTCAGATGAGGAGATGGAATACATTCAAGTAAGTTTTGTGTTACTACATATGTCCTCTGTAGTTATTCACTATGTTGAAAACTTTGCAAAACAACTTCTGGACAACATGATAAATATCCTTGTTTTTAAACTCTTGTTAACTTTGCACTTACATCGAGCGTTACAACTTAATTTTGCAGTAAATACAAACTAAATATTCCTCAACACACAAGTTGGGTAGATAAGGTATCCCTATCTGGCAGTTCGGGATACTGATAAACACAGGCTGTGATTTGCCCACGGTCACGCAGAAAGCCAGTGACAAAATCAGGATTAGAATTTGTTTTGAAGTTCTAGACTACACTTAATCCATTAAACCATGTTGCTTCAATGTCATTATCTATTGTATTTACAATTGTAGAATGTGCAATACATATAAATAAATATAATTTTAATAGAAATACAAAGTGTTGACCTTTCAATTATGAGTTTATTCATAGACTGAAGAGGCTAAACAGGTAGCTTATGCCCAAAATATAGGTTGTGTGTTTAAGAATAAAAATTACAGACACAAATATTCATGATTTATTTCACTGAAAACAAATTGAGTTTAAATGCTCCCTTATAGTGTTTGCAAACTAATATTGCAGCATTATGCAAGTACACGAGAGACAGAACATTTAATTGACTACAAAATGGCATTGTACCTGTAATTTGTTTAGTTTTGAGCATTTCATCACCAGATGGTGACAAATTGGGAGATTAAAGAAGAATATCAAAAATATTAAAGAGCTGGAGGGATGGGTTTGAGACAAGACTAAAAGAACTAAATCTGTATAGCTTGATGAGGTGATTAAGTCCACAAGTATTCAAAGGATATAAACATTGATGACAGAGAGGAATTTTATATAGGGTGGAAAGAGGGATATAACTAGGAGTAATGGAATTACAGAAGGTGTGAAATTCAGCCTAAAAGTTTCCCAGCAATGAGAGGTATTAAGCTGTAAAAGTCTAGTGGGCAAACAGTGGAAACATCTGCTGGACACCTTAGATTATTAAAACAAAGAATGTTTAAACAGGAAGCTTGTTTTTTACTGTCTTTTTTTTTGCACTTTTGAACTTGGACAAAGGAAATAACTAGTCAGTTTCTTTTGCAGGCTTTTATTCACCAGTGTAATGCTGCAGTGTTAATTTTTACACTGACCTATATAAAGTCATACACATTTCTCAGATTTTGTGAGGTTTTTTACAACATCTAAGACCAGTAGAAATGTGGTCCCTTCATAAAAGTAAGAAATAAAAAGTAGAATTCTTAAATGTGCAAATAACCCTGTATTGAAAACAGTACTTCCCTACTCAGTAACAAAGTGCAAACCAGCATGTCAGCTTCCCTTTCCTTTAGTAGAAGACATGTAATTGTCTGTTTTTCTTTTACAGCGTGGAGGTCCAGAATAATTACAGAAGATACTTGTTCACCACTGCTGAATGAATTACTGTATTCACATTAAAGGCCTTCCTCACTCTATGAATGTTATAAACAGTTTGTTAATAGCTTTAATAATGGCCCTGTAGAAAGGGGTGAGAAAGTTGACACTTGTCTTCTAATTTATGTTTCTGGGCCAGCTTTTCTGTTAAAGGCTGACTAAGGTAATTGTCTGAATCCCCTTTAGAAACCTACACTATTAAAATGTAACTTAAGCAATAAAATTGTCAAGAATATCTATTTTTGTAGCTGTTGTTGATCCACAAACAAAGGTCCAGATCTAGTGCGAAATCTCTCAAGCCCATAAGATGAGCATTGTAAAGTTCTTATAATAAAAAGTAGCAATCTTAATGTTCCTACTTTTCAACTTCAGACAGATATTATATAAAAATAAGCTCTGATTCTGGCATCCAGCTGCATGGTGGCTGCTTGCCCTGACAGTTTAAATGCTTCCTAGGGTGAGAACAGCATTAAGATAGAGGTGATCAGCTTATTCTTGGACTAATTTTAGTAATTAAAATTGTGTTTGGAACAGATCTTACTCATCTGCATACAGTTTTAGAGAAAACTACCATTCAGAACTGATTCTTGCTTTCCTGAGCTTTAGAGCTCAGATATATCAGGGGGCTGATGGGTTTGGCCTCAAGAAGAGAACTACAGGTAGCCTTTTCTTCTCTTCGACAAATTAACCATAATCTGGATACAAGGGAGACTAAAAAATTAACTTGAGTGCCACATCTGTTAAGTACTCCTTGTGCCTTGAGCCATTTTAATAGGTTAAACAACACCACTAGCCCAGTAAGGTGGAGAACTTCCTTTTAGTCCCTTGATGCCTACTAGTGCAGAAATCAGGCTTTTGTTTTATACCTTTTAACCTATTAAAAATGGACTTCAGTCCTTTCTTAGAAGATACAAAAACAGCGTGAGGGGCAGAGTTGCAAAGTTGCAGGCTCATGCTGGGGAAAGGGCTTGCCTCCTATCTTTTCAAGATTGTATCCAAGTATAGTTTTCAGGTTCAGTTGCCAACTAGACCAGTGAGTGCTCTATCAGATTAACTGGTTCTGTATGTTTCACAGTAATTTTAAACACTAAAGCCTTGAAATGTAGTTGCTGACAAATAAGACCCACATTAAAATAATATGCCATATCTACAGATAGGGATGGGCAATTCTTTATCGTCGGCTCTCTTTGGGTAGCAAAAAAACCCCCAACAACTCACTACCAGTCTGTCTTAGTACTTAAACTGTCACTGACAACGTTGTTCAGGAAATAAACTATTCAGGTACAACCAGGTCTTAATGCATCTTCAAGTCCTCCTAGAGACCCATCTCCCAACTATCTCATAGAATTTTAAATATATTGGTGAATTGTGTACACTGTACAACAATACTTTTTTTTTGTCACAGTGATAATGGTAATATTACTGACAGGAAAAATACCAATAAATGTACTGAAGAGGGGAGTTGAGAGACACAATGGTTGAATGAACAAGGAATATAGAAGCCAGATCTCCTGATTCCCAGTCATGAGCTCTCATCACAGACCATTCTTTTCCCAAAGTACAAAATGGTGGTGCCAGAACATACTGCAGAGTATAGTAGACAAAGATGAGAGAGAAGTTGGTTCATATTATTACTATGCATTACCTACACATGGACAAAGAAAAGAGAGTTAGACAAACCTAAGAGTTTATCTGGGAGAATTAATTTGAATAGCTTCCCCACATCAACACTTACTCCAGTATAAATTTGTCCACACAGTGAGTTATTCTGGATTCTCTTTTGTGCTTTAAATTCACACTTTAATCTGAAATAACTTTCAAGTGTAGACCAGGCCTTAGTTATTTAATGTGTCAATATGAACAGTTCTAACTGGGGGTTGGCTGCTACTTCCAATATAATTGAAGGAGTGGCAGCAAAAGAATAATTTTAAATCAATGGAATATGTTGCATAGAAAGGATAACACCATGTTAAAATGCAGAGGAAGCAATGAAAAAGCATTGTCTTACAAAACTTACTTGTTAAATCAATTGCACATTCCACTAGTCCTGGCATTGATGGAAAGTCATATCCAGAATATGAAGCATGGATGTAAGTAGGTCTGAGTCTAAGGAGTATACTATATAATCTGTCCAAATTTTCCTGAAAATGATTCCACTTGAGAGCTGGAATATTAACCATGACGTTCTGTTCTACAAACCAGTTTGAGGGCCCAAAAGCGCACAACAAAGTGACTGGATTAAAAAAAAAAAAGACTTTCTTCTGCCTTCCAAATCACCATCTTCCTCCAAAGTTCTGAAAACAAAGCAAAAAAAAAAAAAGCACTTTGAATATTCAAAGTCAATTTTATCCTTCTACTTCCACTGCTCTTCGATAATCCTATAGCAGGACCCTGGACTTAGAAAAGTAGACTTTGATTCCCTCAGGGAACTGATGGGCAGGATCCTCTGGGAGGCTAATATGAGGAGGAAAGGAGCCCCGAAGAGCTGGCTTTATTTTAAAGAAGCCTTATTGAGGGTGCAGGAACAAACCATCCCGATGTGCAGAAAGAATAGCAGATATGGCAAGCTTGGCTTGGCTTAACAGAGAAATCTTCAGTGAGCTTAAACACAAAAAGGTAGCTTACAAGAAGTGGAAACTTGGACAGAGGGCTAGGGAGGAGTATAAAAATATTGCTCAAGCATGCAGGGGTGTAATCAGGAAGGCCAAAGCACAACTGAAGTTGCAGCTAGCAAGGGATGTGAAGGGTAACAAGAAGGGTTTCTACAGGTATGTTAGCAACAAGAAGATCAGGGAAAGTGTGGGATCCTTACTGAATGGGGGAGGCAATCTAGTGACAGATAATATGGGAAAAGCTGAAGTACTCAATGCTTTTTTTATCTCCGTCTTCACAGACAAGGTCAGCTCCCAGACTGCTGCACTGGGCAGCACAGTATGGGGCGGAGGTGAGCAGTCCTCAGTGGTGAAAGAACAGGTTAAGGACTATGTAGAAAAGCTGGATATGCACAAGTCCCTGGGGCTGGATGCAATGCATCAGAGGGTGCTGAGGGAGTTGGCTGATGTGATTGCAGAGCTATTGGCCATTAACTTTGAAAACTCATGGCGATCGGGGGAGGTCCCAAGCGATTGGAAAAAGGCAAATATAGTGCTCATCTTTAAAAAAGGGAGGGAGAATTTGGGGAACTACAGACCGGTCAGCCTCACCTCAGTCCCCCAAAAAATCATGGAGCAGGTCCTCCAGAAATCCATTTTGAAGCACTTGGAGGAGAGGAAGGTGATCAGGAACAGTCAACATGAATTCACCAAGGTCAAATCATGCCAGACCAACCTGAATGCCTTCTATGATGAGATAACTGCCTCTGTGGATATAGGGAAAGTGGTGGATGTGATATACCTTGATTTTAGCAAAGCTTTTGATATGGTCTCCTACAGTAGTCTTGTTAAAGAAGTATGGATTGGATGAATGGACTATAAGGTGGACAGAAAGCTGGCTAGATCGTCAGGCTCAACGGGTAGTGATCAACGGCTCAATGTCTAGTTGGCAGCCGGTATCAAGCAGAGTGCCCCAGAGGTCGGTCCTGGGGCTGGTTTTGTTCAACGTCTTCATTAATGATCTGGATGATAGGATTTATTGTACCCTCAGCAAGTTTGCGAATGGCACTAAGCTGTGGGGAGAGGTAGATATGCTGTAGAGTAGGGATAGGGTCCAGAGTGACCTAGACAAATTGTAGGATTGGGCCAAAGGAAATCTGATGCGGTTCAACAAGGGCAAGTGCAGAGTCCTGCACTTAGAATGGAAGAATCCCATGCACTGCTACAGGCTGGGAACCGACTGGCTAAGCGGCAGTTCATCAGAAAAGGACCTGGGGATTACAGTGGACGAGAAGCTGGATATGAATCAACAGTTGCCAAGAAAGCTAACGGCATATTGGGCTGCATTAGTAGGAGCATTGCCAGCAGATTGAAGGAAGTGATTATTCCCATCTATTCGGCACTGAAGCCATATCTGGAGTATTGTGTCCAGTTTGCCCCCCCCCCCCCACTACAGAAAGGATGTGGACAAATTGGAGGGATTCCAGCAGAGGGCAAGGAAAATGATTAGGGGGCTGGGGCACCTGACTTATGAGGAGAGGCTGAGGGAACTGGGCTTATTTAGTCTGCAGAAGAGAAGAGTGAGGGGGGATTTGATAGCAGCCTTCAACTACCTGAAGGGTGGGGGTTCCAAAGAGGATGGAGCTAGGCTGTTCTCAGTGGTGGCAGATGACAGAACAAGGAGCAATGGTCTCAAGTTGCAGTGGAGGGGTGTCTAGATTGGATATTAGGAAAAACTATTTCACTAGGAGGGTGGTGAAGCACTGGAATGGGTTACCTAGGGAGGTGGCAGAATCTCCATCCTTAGAGGTTTTTAAGGCCCAGTTTGACAAAGCCCTGGCTGGGATGATTTAGTTGGGGTTGGGCCTGCTTTGAGCAGGGGGTTAGACTAGATGACCTTGGGAGGTCTGTTCCAATCCTAATCTAATATGATTCTGTGCTCTTCGGGAATGCTTTTATCTCTACCCTTGAGCAAGAGATTGTGACTGAGGCTTGGTCTACACTACCCCCCTAATTCGAACTAAGGTACGCAACTTCAGCTACGTGAATAACGTAGCTGAAGTCGAAGTACCTTAGTTCGAACTTACCTTGGTCCACACTCGGCAGGCAGGCTCCTCCGTCGACTCCGCGGTACTCCTCTCGCCGAGCTGGAGTACCGCAGTCGACGGCAAGCACTTCTGGGTTCGACTTATCGCGTCCAGACTAGACGCGATAAGTCGAACCCAGAACTTCGATTTCCAGCCGTCGAACTAGCTGGTAAGTGTAGCCAAGGCCTGAGTCAGATGCAGACCTTGCTTCTGTGATCTGGGCCTGTCACGTCCAGCACATATCACTGCAATGCACTTTTCAAAGGGCTCACACCTCTCTAGAAATTAAAGAGAGTGCATTTTGCAGCAGCCTGCTGTAGCTGTGTCTCAGCCGCAACCCGTTAGCGGTTCTGGGTGAGCTGAAGCGAGTGTTGGTGGATGTCGGGGAGGAGTTTAAGGTCCCTGTCTCATTCAGGCTCGAGTTCCCATCTTCCCAAAGTTTGGTGTCCCTGCCTCTCACTCAGGGGAACGGGCCCAGCCCCTTGCTGCCTGCCTGGTGTGGTCGGACTGTATCCGGCCTAGTCTGCCAGGCAGTGCTTCAGGCAAACTCCTCTGCTGGTGCAGCTCTAGGGGCGGTAGCGTGGAGCCCGCAGCCGCCTCACCCCGCCCTGCTCAGCGAGATGCTGCGCTCCCCTGTAGCAGCTCCGACTCAGCCCTAGCTCCTCCAGGAACCCTGAGCCGGCTCCACGCGGCGCCTCCCGTCCTGCCCCGCCTGCGGCAGGCGTCTGACGGGGCAGGCTCGGAAGGGGCTAACACGGCTTCGGGGCTGGAGGCCAGGGCGACGAGCGTGCGTCGCTTAGTAACTGTTGCTAGAGCGGGACGATGGCGTCGTGAGGAGGACGCCGCCGCCGCTAGTAAAGCTCATGCGCAGGGAGCTCGGGGAAGGGGCGGGGTTCCGTGTGCGGGGCCGGAAGCAGCGGCCGGCTCAGGCAGTGACGGTTTTAAATCCCCCTGGGCAGTGATGGACGCGCGGGCGCGAGCTAAGCGCTACGAGAAGCTCGACTTCCTGGGCGAGGGGCAGGTGAGGTCTGCGCGGGGGGGCTGCGGAGTTGGGGGTAGAGGGCCTGGGCCTGCCTGTGCGGGGGGTCTCGGCTGGGCGCAGGGGGGCTGGGCCTGGGCCTGGGCCTGGGCCTGCTTGTGCTGTAGGGTCTCGGTTGGGGGTAGAGGGGCTGGGCCGGCCTGTGCTGTAGGGTCTCGGTTGGGGGTAGAGGGGCTGGGCCGGCCGGTGGGGTGGGGTCTTGGCTGGGCGCGAGGGGGCTGTGGAGTGGGGGGGCGGGGTCTCGGCTTGGGGATCAGGGGGTCCGGGCCGGTGTTGTTGCCTTGTGCTCCCAGGATATGAGAGACAAGCTGAGTGAGACAAGGCCACCTGCTACATATTAATTATACAATTGGGTCGCTCATGTGCTGTAGGAGTGTTTCAATTAGTTTTAAAAAAAAGACTTCACTAGGATCTCAGGGGAGGGTATGAACCCACTGGGATAGCGTTATACGCTGTTTGGGCTTCACTCTCCTGTATTCACTTGTCAGGTACTCTCCATTCTGGTTCTGATAGCAAGTTGCTCTATAGCACAATGTCACTTCTGTTCATTCTTCTCCTTTTTCCCCGGGTCAGGGGCAACTTGTCCTAGTTGCTTTTCAATACAATAACTTGAGGAAAAATCTTTCTTACTGCTTACTACCTGACACATTTCAGTAGGAAATGTTTCTCCTGTGTCTCATTGAATGCAAAGTTACTTCTCTTTGGGTTTAGACAAGAGTATATTTTGTGCCTTTGCACTTCTAGTTTGTGGTCACGGAATTAGGGAGAATCTGCCTTGGTTATACACATTTCATTGTGGTAAAATGGTCTGCAGGTAGGAAGTTCCATGCAGGGATCTGAAGCAGTCCACTTGATTGCTGTTTGTTTGTCCTTCATTGGTGTGTTGGAGGTGTTGCTCTAGTATTTTGAGCATCTTTTCGTTTTCATTGCTTGCTTTGCTTGTCAGTGAGTTGGAGGTCTTGCACTTAAGAAATGATGACATATAGAAGTAAATTGTGCTTTCATTTAGATTTAGCTCTCCAAAATCTAAGGAGATTAGGGTAGAGGTAGTATTTGGTTGTGGTGGCATTAGAATTTGAATATTCTTTCCGGTATATTGATTAATAGGAGGAAATCATCCCAATTCTGACCTGTTCCTGTGCACATGGAGTATGTTTGCAGAACTGCAGATGTAGGGTTTTTGTTGCGGGGCTTATCCCAGTTAATGTAACTTAAGTTGGGCCCCCAATTTCACTCCCATAAGTAAAATGGGTTGTGTTGTTGAATAGCTTTTAGTGGTTAGTTTATTGTGGGGAGGCGAGAATGGGGTTGTGTGTTTCTATCTGAGTGGAAGGCCTGGAAGGTTATTTCTTTAATTCTGATAGCCCATCTGAAACTTTCTGATGTATTTATAATAAGGTCTAGGTATCTATAATTAAGTCTGTTCAATCTTCAAGTCTCTCAAAGAAAAATGTCCCCTGTTCTGGCTGTTTAGGGACTTTTCTTTTTAAAAAACTGATTCTCTCCCTGCCCCTGCCAAGGTTGACCTGTATTATAGTAGGTTTCTAAGAAGGAGTAAGATTCTTTGCAAATCATCTTGAGTAGATGATAGTACAACTAGGTTCCCAGCATACAGCAGTCAACTTATGAGTCCATTAGTGGGAGTTCTGAATTTGGGAATTGTTCCACTAGAGTTGGTAGGTCATTGATGTATGGATTGAAGAGAGTTGGTCTGGTTCTATTCATGGACTCTTTCTTTATAGGTTTTGAAAGTGCTCTATTCTGGGTGGCTGGGCTTTAGTTATGTTGTTTTGGTTTAAATTCTTTCCAGTTGTGCCACAAGAAACTGGTGTCTATTGCATCTTCAATTTATGCTATGGTGGAGCCCTGGGCTAGCCTATGCAACCGAGAGGTGCTGCGCAGAGTGAGGATGGTGGCAGTTTAAGGTCTGTACTCTGGTTAGCTCCTGTCCCAGAATGAAATTGAGAAGGATGCTGATAAGAGGTGGCCTTGTGCTATGTAGTACCCTGCCACAAGATCAGGAAGGGACAGTAATGACAAATAGACACAGAGGATTAGATCCCCCACAGTATATAATTCTATCCTAGGTGGATCATATGAGAGATACGTGAGGGATGTTTTTCTCATGCCCTGGCAACACTTGTCATGCCAATAAAGTCACATTGACTTGAGGGGCTATCATCACGTCTATTGGTAGCTGTAGTTCAGGCCTGCACAACATGCGGCCCGTGTGGGCTCACTGTGCAGCCTGCCGGGGGTGAGTAGGCAAGTGGCGGGTGAGGGAGGGGGGCTGAGTAGGCGAGCTGGAGGGGTGGGGGGGGTGAGGAGGCAAGTGGGCAGGCAGTGCCGGGGAGGCAGGTGAGCTGGCGGGGGGGGGCTGAGGAGGCAAGCGGGCGGGCAGTGGCAGGGGGTGAGGAGGCGAGCCGGGGGGCTGAGGAGGCGAGGCGGGCGGGCAGTGGCAGGGGGTGAGGAGGCGAGCCGG